AAGTTCATTTTCTTTGCATTTTAAAATATCTGGATCATGAAGAAAAAGTGATGACAATAAATTAAAGTTGAATTACCTTTTCTGGTGGTGGTTCCTCACAAGTATAGTTCAACTCACTATCTATACATTTGATAGGTCTTCTGTTGCTGGTAAAATAGTGGGATTTGTTGAAATTTCTGTCATGTGTATGGTAGAAAAATTCTTGTGAATATAAAATTTTACCAGTTATTTATAGAACAGTAAAATGGGATATGTTTTTTAAAAAATTGAAAAACTTAAAACAAGCCTGGTGTGGTGGTGTACAGCTTTAATCCCAGCACTCACGAAGCAGAGGCAGGTGGATCTCTGTGAGATTGAGATCAGCCTGGTCTGCATAGCTCCAGGCCAAAAAGAAAAAGGAAACACAAAACATATAGAATTAGGAACATCTCCATCTAAAATTTAAAGGCGAAGCAAGTGTTTTTGTTTTGTTGTAAGAAAATTGTAGAGACAGACTCAGCAGTAAACATTTTATGTAAAGTGTATCTGGATATTTAGATTTTTTAAAGGATTTTATTTTTTATTTGTATGTATGTGTGCATGTATGCACACATGGGTGCCTGGGAAGGAGACCAGTAGAGGGTATTGAATCCCTGGAGCTGGAGGTACAGGCGGTTGTGAGACACACAATGTGGGTGCTGGGATCTGAAGGATCTTCTGGAAGAACAGCAAATGTTGTTAACCTTGGAGCCATCTCTCCCACAGCCCCCAGTGTTTGAATTTTTATTCATCATTTATGTGAGTTTGGAGATGGGGTGAAGGACAAGCAGTGAGTCCTAGAGAACAGTGGAGCCATAAAACTTCAAAGATGTTTTACTTGAAGAAGTTTGTGAACCTCTTAGGAAGCTATTCGAACACTACAGAGAGTAGCAAGTAGACACCCTCATCCTCACCGTCATCGTTTATCATTATGTTTGAGGAGTATGTCATGTGTTTATGTAAAAAGACATCGCCCATATTGCACAAAAATAAGATCTTAGATATATATTTTTCTGCACATTTCTTTTTAAAGACTTTTAAATATAAAAATACATCAATAACAGTTAATATCTCATCTTCTGGCCCAATAATGTATTGTTGACATTGGGTAATAAAAGAATAAGCAAGGAAAGCATGTTTACAAAATCAGATATCTTGATTTGATGATTAAACTTGGCAGAAACTTTAGGCTGATGCTTGTTTGAGAACACAGGAAAACTTCTGTCTTTGCTGTGTTTCTAATACACCTTTTACTCTGATTAGAGGAGTGAGCTGTCATGATCAAAGTGGTACTCTCAGGCTTTTTTTCTTAAAGATTTATTTATTGGTGTGGGTATGAGAGAGTGAGTGCAGCTGTGTACCTGCATGGAGGCCAGAAGAGGGCATCAGATGTCTTTCCATCACTTTCTACCTATTCCTTTGATGCAAGATCTCTCCCTGAACCTGGGCCTGGCATTTTCTCTGGGCTAGGCTGGCATCCAAGCTTCAACAATCCTGCCTCCACTCTTCGCAGAGCTGAAGGTGCAGACGTGCCATGATGCCCAGCCATGGGTGCTGGGGATCCAGACGTCAGTCCTCATTGATTGTGCACCTTGTGCTCTGCTTTTTTATAGCCTGAACGATAGCCATTTCTTCAACTTAGAGCAACATGAGTTGTACATTTAGCGGTTTGGAGCCAGGCTAAGGGAAAGCTTGCATTGCTGCTTCATTGTCTTAACAGTGAGCAGCAGCCTGAGAACAGCCTCACTGAGGCCAGAGAGAATCTTATCCTAGTTCTGCTCATTGGATGTACAGCTTCTTTAGCTGTGTTTGTTTTTTAAAAAAATGCAATGTATATTCTAATTCTTTGAACTGTCTGTATCTTAATTTATGTACCAGGTAGAAGGGTTGTGCTTGGTCGTACTAAGATTTGTTAGCTTTCAAATTGAATCTACGTTTTCGTGATTCATTTGTAGTGCTAAAGATACCATCCTTGGCAATATAATGAGTTCAAGGCCCGCCAGAGGTACATACCTTGTCTCACTAAAAAAGCCTCAGGGGAGCTGGGCACACCTTTAATCCCAGCATTCAGGAGCAGGGGCAGGCAGATCTCAGAGATCAAGTCCAGCTTGCTCTGATTAGTGAGTGCCAGGCCAGCTGGGCTGCAGGGAGACCCTGCCTATAAAAATCAGCAAAAAGATACGAATAGCCTCTTTTTGAATTAGGGCTTTGATTAGTTGGGAAATACTGTAGATGATCATCGTCTAACTTGCTTCCTGCACCCTAACACATAAGCACGTTATGATACAGGGCATATACTACCTATGATCACCCTCTTCTGGTAATACAGTTGTTGATTTTCCAGCACATTTTGGGGGGGGTGGTTTCAAAGTTACTTAAATACCCTAACATCTGAAGATGCTTTCAGAAGTGATAGGAAATACAGGGATATAGGTTGTTATACTCTTTATAGTTAATTTCTGCAGAGAATATTTTATGTATATAAATACAAACCTCCTTAAATTTAGATAACTTTGAAAATTCTGCCCAGTAAAACTGATGATGGAAGTTATTGTACCATTATAAAGAAAAAAGCTTATTTGTGCTATTGTAAAGAATGCTGTTCTTCCTACCCAGCTAATCTCTTAGTAATTAATAAAGTCAGTATTTTCTCTGCTTTTTTGAAGCACTCCAATCTTGCCTCCTGTGATGTCCCCCACTGCCTGAACTTTTCCATAATCACGGGGCACAAATCCCCTGGATAGACCTTTGATGCCTCTTTAACTTGTTAGCATTTAGACTCACCATCAGGGCAGTGAACACTAAATATGTGCTAGAGCACGTAACCCTGAAATGCAAATTCCAGGAGAAAACCACTCATCTTCACTGGACACTGTGTCTTAGAATAGCCTTCCGGCACTTGATGTGTGCAGTTGGCTGAGGATACTGACACACTGAAAGTAAATATTTGGTTTCTGAATTAGATTTCATCACATCCCTTACTAATTTTTACAGGATGGCTTTCCAGTTTATGATTGTATTTTACTTTGTTTTCTTTTGTCTGAGATACTGTGTTTTCATTGTAGCCCAGACTGGCCTGGAGCTCTCAATTCTGCCTCTCTTGAGCATTGAGATTACAATATTCCACTGCAGCTGGCTCTAGCTCTAGATTTTATTTATCAATTTTCTCCTTGTCATCCAGATTCACTTTAAACCAATTAATCTAAAGATGAAAACTTAATTAGAAATTTTGTTCAATTTTAGTAAGATTCAATTTTGTGGTAGATGGTAGATTTTACTCTTGAGTATAATTAGAAAGTCCATCGTAAAATTGGGACTATACATTCTGTTGCTTACTAGAAGAAGTACAAGGGTTCTTAAGAATTCTCTTCAGGGGCTGGAGAGATGACTCACCGACTGCTCTTACAGAGGACCTGGGTTTAATCCCCAGCACTCTTATGGTGGCTAACATCTGTAGTTCCAGGGGATCCAATGCCCTCTTCTGTCCTCTGGGGACATTGCATGACATGGGTACACTTACAAACATGCAGGCAATGCACTCATTAAATTACATATATATATAAAAGAATTCTACTGTTCAAAGAACTGGATTAGTAAAATGATCAAGGCTAGTTTGTTTTTGGTTCCATAATGCATGGTTGAGATACTATGTACATTCATAAGATGGCAAACACACTTTACAGAGCAGTTTCTGCCAGAATAGACTACTTTCTCTTACGAAGACTTTGAAGTGAAGTCTTCAGTCAGTCAGTCAGTAGAAGGTGGGACTATTGTAGAAATGGAGAAACAAGTCTGAGTAATTATCTGTGGGGAGGTGAGCGTGCTATGGCTGCAAGATGTTGGGGAGTAGAGCGAAGAGAAGGCTGGGTATTTGCCACCCTCAGATACTTCCAGGCAATCCTGAAGGTAGATGAGGTTAGGGCTGAAGTCATACACACAACTGATCTCAGTGTTGCACTGTGGAGTTGTCAGTTTAATATAATCAGATTTTATAGTTGAGGGAATACACAGATCTTTTAAACATCTTGTCAGGTGCCACATAAGTAATGCTAAAAGAGGACTCATTGACAATGATTTTATGTTTTATAAATTCTATAGTAACTATTTGTAATGTAATTGGGTAACATTTCTTAGCTTCTTTCCCATTGTTTTGAGAGCTGATAATGCTTCTGCTTGGAGGTATCAAATGGTGAGATGCTAGTTAGTAGGCTCAAAGCGCTGAGCTTACAGATGGTAGAGTTCTTGTCTAACATGAACAAAGCTCTGGGTTTGATCCTTAGTGTAGACCAGGATGGTAGAGCACACCTGTAATTCCAGCATTCTGGGTGGAGAAGCAGGAGAATTAGAAATTCTAGGTCAGCTTCAGGTCCATAGCAAGTTCAAGGCCAGCTTGGGATATATGAGACCCTGTCTCAAAAAATGAAGGAAAATACAGCTTAAAAGCCATGAAATCTTGAGAGTCAGCCAAGTTAATGACCTCTTGAAAAACAAAAGGAAAAGAAAAAGACATTCCATGTACTGATAATTCAAACTGCCCGGTCTAGACCAAGGAGCTTATTTGAGCTCTTCCATATTTTAACCATTTATCTCCAAATTGGTGCTGTGTTTGTGTAATTTATTTCATATCTCAGTGATAGAGAAAACAACTCTCTAGCGCTTGGCCTTTCAAAAAGTTTTTGCATTTTGTGTGTGTGTGTCTGTGTGTGTGTGTATGTCGTGGTGCACGTATGGAGATCAGAAGAACTACGGGAGTCAGAGCAGGATGTCTGGGCAACCAGTCACACCCACAGTCAAGAGCAGAGAGGAGGAATGCCTGCGTGTTGGTGCTTGGTTTGCTTTCTCCACTCTTAA